GGGTTTTTTAGCTGCCCAAAGAAGATTTAGTTATGTGCTCCTCTGAGAGGGTGCTGGCAGGATCTTTGATTCCTGATCTCCTGTGACGGAGAACTGTGTGTCATTGCATCAGCAGTACTCTCTAAACACTTGTAAGACCCCCTCAACTTAATCTTCCCCTCTTTAGTCCCATGGACATACCTGTCTGCCAATGGATGTGCCAATGGATATATATATATCTGTACTATACATACAGATATAGGCTTACTAGGAGAGCTGAAAGCTCTAGTGTTACCATTTACAGACCTAATCCTTCCCCTCTCCTCCACCTCAGCCCTGTCTCCATTTCCTGTCCCCTACCGTACCACTGGCATCTTTGACTATTGCAATCCAGTGCAGTGCCACAGCTTTTCTCCAGTTCCTCCCTTCAATGGGCTAGACTTAGAAGTTTGGGAGAAGCTACAGCTTTGCACTGGGAACATGAGTGGTACCCACCATTCAGGAGAGGAATAGGAGACAGGCATTGGAACTTTTTTCCTAGCTGAATCCCTCATTTGTGTGTCTGCCCCTGTTAGATGACCTTCTTCATATTTCAGTGTTGTTGTTTCCAGCATGAATCAGCTCAGCATTAAGGAGCTGATCAAGAAACAGAACTGAATCACAGCAACCTCAGCCACTGTTGAATCCACACTGGAATTTAACTGAAAAAAACATGCTAATCACGGAGAATGATTTTTCCTTGGCCACACAGCCCTGACTGCAAGGGGAACTGAGACCAGTTTAATCCACCAGTTAACGGGCACACAGGCTGAAGAGAGACTTCAGGACTCACTCTCTAGTTTTTAAATCTCATATGGACTTACTCTGATGTCATTCATGTTTACCTGTCTTCTCCTTCTGCCCTCCTTCACTCTTACCCTCGTGTTCAGTCTCTCCGCCCACACAATCACCCTCACTGCAATCCTTGCCAACTTTCTGTATTATTCCCATAAGACAGCATTTATCTCTGCGGAGGTTTCAAAGCTACAGGATAATGTTGTTATACCTGCTTACACCATGGGTGAATGTGGCCCCCACAGGTTTCAATGGCAATTGTTCTGTAAGTCAAAGTCAACAGGTAGTTTTACCTCCATGAGCAAAATATCCTTGGAGCTCTGAGCTTGGACTTTCGGGTGCTGGATTTTCACTGCCACTGTTCTCCCATCCTGCAGCACTGCCTTGTGCACCTGGGCTAGTGATGCTGCTCCCAAGGGAATGTCTTCAAAACTTACGAAGAGCTCTTTTATCTGCCAGAAGAAGAGAAAGAGGCATCAGCTTGGGGTGCCGGAGACTATCCTAAGGAAAGCCCTATCCACAGGCCAGAGACAGCATGTGCCGAAGCTGGGCAGGCTTGGCCCTTTCATCCTTCCTCTGTCCCCTGCCTGAGCCTTGTCACTGCTTGGCCTCCCAGTGAAGCCTGCCAAGCGTGGAAGTGCCCTGGAGATACTCTGCTTATGGAAACCTGTAGCAGAACCCAGCAGCACATTTCATCTAGGACATGGAGTGATCAGGTAGCATGTGAGGGATCCCTCTCCAGGCTGTCCTGAAAACAAGTTGGAGACATGGTCAGCATCTTTGGCTGTAATTGGGTGCAGAAGCCAACAGCTGTCCCTTCGCATGTAATTATTTTGCAGATATTTAATACCACCCACCATGACCCCCTGAAACCTGACAATGCATACTCCCATGCATTACAGCAGCGTCAGCTAGCTTACGTGGTGAAAGCCAGCACATGACTGGGAGCAGTAGGAAGGGCACGGGGACAAAAATTGCAGTTTGCACCTCTGAAGACATGACCTGAAAACATGTTTTATGTGATGGACTTTCTCACGCTTCCAATAAAAGTAACCAGTGCTTTCAGCTCAGAAAAAGCAGCAGGGGAGGACAGCAAAGCACTATGCAGGCAGGAAAGGAAAGTATTAGCAGCTCTGGGTATGAAACTCGGGACTAGACGATAAGGAAATTTGCAGATGAAGAAGTAGATTCACCAGGAGGATGTCCAGGAAGCAAAAACCTACAGTTGTGGGTGAGGCAATGGGAGATGGGCAAAGGCCTGTCTGCCCTGTGTAACATAGCACCCTGCTAGAGACCCTCAGTGCAGCACCGGGCAGCTCAGGCCCTGGAAACACTATTACCATGGTAGTGTGGTATCAGCCTGGCTGAGTAGCCAGGCCCCTCCGCACAATTAATTAGCTCAGAGGGAGTGCCAGCATGGTTATGCGGCTTCAGGCACGGAGCTAATTCATGTAATGATAATCAAGGGTTTCCATCCTGCTCTGCAGAGCAAGGTGCAGACAAGCTCTGAGGTATCCAGAAGTCAGCAAAGGGAACCTGTCCCACCCCTCCCACGGGCTGGACTGATTTCGGGTGAGCAGTTAAGAAGCCTGTAATTTATGCAGTAACAAAAAAGAAAGAATGTCAGTGCATTTTTATAATGTGCTTTTTAAAAGGTAATTAAAGATGGGAGCTGCAGCGAGCTAGTAATTAAATATGAATAAAGACCTTCTAAGCAAAGTCTCCATGCAAAGCGTTAAACGAATATTCTTTTTGCTGACAAGGAAGAAATACTATACAAGGAGCAGCCTGTTCCCTCGTGCAGCTGCCTGGGAATGAGCCCCCTCCCACACTACCCTACCCCTTCTCTCCCAGCCCCTTCCACAGAAAACTATTGCTAGCAACAAACTGGAGCATTTGCAGCAATTAGATTCCAACAGAGACTCAGCTGCCTCCAGTAATTCACTAGGAAGGTGCATTTTATTTATTTATTTAATTCCTATTGGTCCCAGCGGCAAAATCAATTAAGTAAAACAACTGCATTTAAAAACAACTAGTTATGTGTTTTTTAATTACAGCAGGTCCATAATTCAAACCTATTGACATACATGTCTCAAGAGAAAAAAGCTT